CACTCTCGTACACCTTCTTGCAAGTCATGAAGCTTCGGACAAGGGAAAATCACATGTCATCAGTTTAGCCAGTACAAGTCCTATGTAGCATCAACCCTCCCAAGACATCAGATATGCATGAGTTTAGAAACAAATTTAGCAATCATCTATAGCGTAGCATGATCAATGACCCATTTTTTATGATTCCTTAGCATAAATAGGAAAGTCGGCATAAACCAACAAATTATCCAACCTGATTCTTTTGAAAACACAAACAGGGAGGATGTGGTATAGATCCCATCCTTGTCAAAAAGGCGAAAAATGCAACTTCCACAACATAAGGACATACATACCTGTATACATCCCGTGTACGCTCCATATCTTCAGCATCAAGCTCTTCATACAATGCATAATTAATCCTGAAACACCAATAGAAACACCGTGAGGCATATTTCATCTCAAGAGCAAATATGAGCATATACATTACACAAATATATACCTACCACAAATAGATATAACGTTGCCAGTACCGCTTCTCCTCAGCAGGTGGCACATTGGCAATTGCACGCTCATAAACCTCCCTGACCCTCTCTTTATTGCCCACACTTTCTTCCAAGCGAATGTAATCGAACCATGAATCATAATTCAACGGATTCTTTCTGACCTCGTCCTCATACTGAAATCTCCTCTTACCCACAATAGCATCCTCAATCCCTTCCCTATCTCCATACTGCTTCTCAAAAGCTACAAACTTTCTATACAGATCCTCTGCCCTTCCTTTCGGAATATGATCTAGCGCAAACTTATATATGCACCTCGCCCTCTCGCTCTCCTTACATCGCTCCTCGAATTCCGCGAATGCCACAAACAACATCTCCGCCTCGTCATCATCAGCGAATTTCTCCACCGCTCTCTCATACACATGCCTAGCTCTAGCAACCTCGCCGTTCTTCATTTCGAATTTCGCATACTTAATCCAAGCACTGACCTTAGGGTGGCACTGCACGAATCTCTCGTAAATCCCCCTCGCGCGCTCAACCTCATTGTACCTAAGCTCGAACTTGATATAAGACAACCAACCTTGCTGGTCGGGCATCCAACTCATCCACCTCTCGAAAATCTGCCTCGCGCCCGCTACATTGCCCAGCTTCTCCTCCATGTGAATATATTTATACCACAGCTGATCGACCCTCGGCAGGAGGGATACGGCGCGGTCCCACACGTTCCGGGCGTGATTTATGAACTTGTTCTTCATCTCCATGTCCACGTACTTCAACCACAGCGTGTGGTTGCGGTAATCGACCTCGAGGGCGCGCTCCCAGACCGAGCGCGCCCGGTTGAAGTCCTTCTGAGACTCCTCCCACTGGGCGTACTTCACCCACACGCTGACGTTCCATCGGACGCGTCGGATGAGGTCCTCGAACTCCTTGCGCTTCCGGAGGCGGTAATCGCCGAGCTCGGTGTGATCAGTGATCTTCTGCTTCGGGGGCCGGATTTCGGCCTCCTGACGCTCGCGGGCCTCCCGGAGGATCTGCTCCGCGGTGATCTGGATCGGCGCCGGGGTCTTGTTCTTGACCCGGGTGGGACGCGGGAGCTTCACCTCCGTGTCCCGTCGGGTCAGATACCCGAGGGTCCGGTCGGAGTCCGCCATTGTCCGAGCCTAGGGGTTTTGGCGGCGACGCGAGGGGGGCGGGGCGGACGAGGGAGCGGACCGTGCTGGCGGTGGGCGGCGAGACCGGAGAAAGCGAACGAGGGAAGAGGGAAGAAGAAGAAGACGAAGAAGAAGAAAAGGAAGAAGAAGAAATACAGGAAACCCTAGACAAGGTCGGTTCCCGCTCCAAATTACCGTTCCCGGCCGAGAGGCGACGGGCAAAGGTCGTGCGCAATTACGAGGCGGCGAACTCGCTCACGGTTAAGGACAAAAGAGGAGCTTGAGGGACGAGCGGAGAGTGAACGAAGAACGGGGTGAGGCGACGTCCAAGTTAGGGTTTTGTTTTTTTGGGGGGGTGGGGAAAGTCCTGATGCAGCTGCAAAAAGTGTAGAGGTGAGACAAGAATGGATTTAAAAAAAAAATTGTCGCTTAAATTTACGCGTCAGCGATATATATTTTGAGTTTGGATTTTAAAAAAGTCAAATTTATTATATAGACATCGAAATTTTAATATAATGTGCAATGTAGTCAACCTAGATTGACTTCATGAATTTAATTTACTTCAATTGAAAAGAATAAAATGAAAGATTTGTAAGGATGTATACTATATTTCTTAAATATAAAGGAATAATGTTATGACAATCCTTTCAAAGAGATTAATTTAAGTTTGAAGTCTACATTGAACATTTTCACGATAGTTTAGATGAAAGCGATGTATTTTATATAACAGACAAAGGACAAACTCTCAAGAAATTAATCTAATTTTAGTCATCTCTCACGTATTGAATCTGAATTTGATTTTTTACATTCAACTACAATTAAAAGTTTAGGAATCAATTTTCCAAAATAAGTTGATTCCCATAGGTATTTTGCTTCTTTGGTACCATTATCCCAAAATATATATAGATGGAAGATGATTCTTTCTTCCATTCCAAAATTTGGGCCCATCTATTTATGCTTCAGCAAAAGTAATTTCCCGTCAAAACCTAATTCATTATTCAAATCCTTAGAATTATGCAAAAAAGAAAAAAAACTTGTATTTGAATTTACGCGTCAGCGTTTGAGTATTGTAAGAGTTTCGGATTTTAAAAAAAGTCAACATATGTGAACATCGAGATTTTGATTAGATAAAAAAGTCAAAAGTAAAAATCAACCTAGATTGACTTCATGAATTGTAAATTTACTCGTGAGAATTGAAAAGAATAAAATGAAAGATTTGTAAGGATGTATACTATATTTCTTAAATATAAAGGAATAATGTTATGACAATGATTGCAAAAGAGAAAAACAGAAGTTTGAAGTCCCCAACTTCTTTTTCCGAAAATTCCAAGAAAGCGATGTGCTTTTATATAATAGACAAAATTGTAACTTAAACTCTCAAGATAATTATCATCTAATTTTAGTCATCTCTCACGTATTGAATCTGAATTTGATTTTTTTACATCGCCTACAATTACTTAAATCAATTTTCCAAAATAAGTTGATTCTATAGGTATTTTGCTTCTTTATAGGACCAAAAGAGCATGAGTATTGCTTCAAAATAAAAAGGGATATGTTCAATAGAAGTCCTAAAACTTATCACCAAAGTGCAATTGAGTCCTAAAACTTGCAATCAAGTCATAAAACTCGTTAAATTGATTCAAATGAGTTCTAATGTTAACACTGTTAAACTTACTAACGGAAAATGCTAACGTGGCTTATTTTCATATATTTCTCTCTCCTATGTGGTGATGGCGTCGCTAAAACGACGTCATTTTGGCAAAATTTTGATTTTTAATACTATTTTTATTTATATTAAATTTTTAAAAAAGATTTAAAAAAAAGGAGGAGGAAGAGGACAGGTGGGGAGGGAGGGCTTGCCTTCCCCACCGCCGCCGCCCCACCATCGTTGAGAGGCGGGAGGGTGGGGTCGCGGTCGCCCCACCATCGTTGAGAGGGCCAGGCGAGGGTGGGTAACGACGAGGGTCGGGGCTCGCTAGGACCTGGCCGAGGGTGCGGGGCGGCGACCTCCACCTGGCCGTCCGGGGGAGGGCTTGCAAGCCCTCACCTATCGTTGGCGAGGGTCATCGGCCCCTAGCTAGGGCCCGGCGACCCCCGCCTATTGTCCCCCCACCCTCGTCGGCTCCTCCCGGCGATGGTGGGGGTGGCGACAGGGAGGGCAAGCCCTCGCTCCACAACTATCCTCCTCCTCTTTTAAAAAAAAATAATTTATTTTAGCTTTATTTTTAAATTTAATTTAAATAAATATAATATTAAAATGATTTAAAAAAAAGGCAAGGCAGCATTTTTCGTTAGTCAAATTGGACGATATTAATTTTATGACTCGATTGAACTAATTTGACAAGCTTTAGGACTCGATTGCACATTTTGTAGGTTTTAGGACCCAATTGCACTTTGGTGACAAGTTTTAGGACTTCCGGTGAATATATCCCAAATAAAAACTAAAGACATTCTATTCCTAAATTTTCATTTTGTTTGATTTTATTCTTGTAGTTGGCACGATGTAGGCATTCCGTCTAATTTCTAAAGCGCAATAGTTGATTGGGTGGCATAATGCAACTTTCAATGAGTGGCCATGGGGCACTTATAATTGTTTTTTTTTCTGTCGATCCTCTCTATATTTCACCGCAAAATGAGATCGTTCTATTTTCTCAACTCTTGCAATCTTTGGATATCCTTAGAAATTCGATAATATTGCGGTTGAATTTGGACTAAGGGTTTAATTTTTTTTTTTATCTTCATATCATCCGAAATTAGATCTATTTTTGCCCAATGCCGGTTTGAGCATGTGCCTACCCCGCTTGCCTGTCAATAAAGTGAAAAAAAATTCAAATATATCTTCAATGCATTGCTTTCCTCCTTTTTATTTTCTAAACTCATATTTCGATACGCTTCGGTTATCCAAAACCTTCTATTTTCGCGGCGAAAAAGAACATTAATTTCGAACGCCATGTATCGGCATCAATAATAAGTTACAAAAAAAAAAGAAGATCACTAATAATAGAGGAAATAAGATTTACAAAATATAGACGATAAAATAAACAAATTAAAGCAACAATAATTTGTGGGCTACATATACTCGCACCCACAGGAACTATACGATTACAGAATAAATGAACTGTCATACAACCCATGATTATATGACGAAAATGATGAGCGCCCCCCCCGACCCCACGCGCGACGGGGGCGCGTGCGCGTCGGACCACCTCGGATCGTCGCTTTCAGGAGGATCGCCACCGTCTCGGCCACGCGCATGCGGCGCGCGTGTCCTTGTACCCGGGGGGGGGGGGGGGGGTGGCCTTGGTCGAAGCAAGCTCTCAGATAGTTTTGCAAAATCCGAACATTTTCAGATTGGCGTCTCTCTGCACTCTCCTCTCTCCTCTCTCTTCTCTCTCTATCTTTGCTAGGGTTTCAGAGTCGCCGCTGCTGTGTCCGTTCCGGAATTCGATTGACTCTCGCTCCTCCTCCCCAACCCCCCCGGGTCTCCGAGTTCACTCGTCGCGGCTCGGGCGTAAGTTTGCTCTCCTTGCTCTCTCTTCCCTTCCTTCGTTTTTCGCAGCAAGAACCGGCGTCGATTTGGGGGGGGTTGTGGTACGGAATCGTTTTCGATCTGGTGGGGGGTTACTGCGATCGCGGGGGCGAGCGTGTGATCTGGTGTTGCGGTGTTCGGTTTCCGGCGTCGATTGAAGTGGGTTTTTCGGCTCGCGATTTCGTTTCGGGGGCGTTCTTTTTTCTTCTCTTCTTTTTTTTGGGTGCTTGCTTTCCGCGTCGTCGGCGGACAGTGACCTCTGAGCAGCGAACTGCACAGTCTGCGATTTCTTCCTCCCTTGTGTTTTGTTTTTATGTTTTTTTTTTCCCCCTGATGAATTGGATTTGTTCTGCGTGTTTTGGGTTTTTGTTGAACCGCGCGAGGGCGATTGAAAGCTCTCGGGTTGATCTGCTTGTGGGATTTTAGCTTGAGATCGATGATCGCCTTGAAGTTTGGGGCTTTTTGCATATTACTCGATTCTCATTTTTGGTAAATCCTGGTATATGCTTGGCTGTATAGCTTATATCCCGGGTCGGCAGCGGCATTCGCAGATCATGCTTTTCCAGTTTCGTTTTGCTGCTTCGAATTTCAGGATGTGTTGTTTGCAGGGTTGACTGTTTGGTACAGTAGTGGGGAAAGTTCACCTGCTCTAGCTCCTGTTTCCCCATTCCTTTTGTTATTAATATTCCGACCTTTGGACGATCTTTGTAGTTGTTTTTTTGGTGCTTCTCTTGTTCTTCTCTGCTTGAAGCGTGTCGGGTCTTGAATTAGTTTGACTGGGTTTTCAGTTGGGGCCATCTTTGAGTAGAAGAGGACAGCACCTGATTATTTGCTCGGGCCTTTTCACCGAGCTCTCTAATCGATTGGCTTTACCTCTTTCTTCTCTCAGATAGTATGGCGATGGAAGTCACGCAAATTCTCTTGAATGCACAATCCGTAGATGGAGCTGTGCGCAAGCATGCTGAGGACAACTTAAAACAATTTCAGGAGCAAAACCTCCCAAGTTTCTTGCTTTCCCTGGCTGGCGAGTTGGCTAATGAAGAAAAGCCTGCCGAAAGTCGTAAACTGGCTGGTTTAATCCTTAAGAACGCCTTGGATGCCAAAGAACAACACAGGAAGTATGAGCTTGTACAGCGCTGGTTGGCTCTGGACGCTTCGGTGAAGGCCCAAATTAAAAACTGCTTGATAAAGACGCTCTCCTCTCCTTCTCACGATGCTCGCTCTACTGCTTCACAAGTTGTTGCGAAAGTGGCAGGTATAGAGTTGCCACAGAAACAGTGGCCAGAACTGATTGGCACTCTGTTGTCAAATATTCAGCAGCTTCCAGCACATACCAAGCAGGCCACACTTGAAACGCTTGGATATATATGTGAAGAAGTTTCCCCTGAAGCTGTGGAACAAGCTCATGTAAATCAGATACTTACAGCCGTTGTTCAGGGTATGAATTCATCCGAGGCGAACAATGATGTCAGACTTGCTGCTACTCGGGCTCTCTATAATGCGCTGGGTTTTGCTCAAGCAAATTTTTCCAATGATATGGAACGTGACTACATTATGAGAGTTGTTTGTGAAGCTACTCTTTCCCCTGAAGTCAAGATTAGACAGGCTGCTTTTGAATGTTTGGTAGCCATTTCTTCAACATACTATGAGAAATTGGCTCCTTACATTCATGACATTTTCAACATCACTGCTAAAGCGGTCAAGGAGGATGAGGAGCCTGTTGCACTTCAAGCCATTGAATTCTGGAGTTCCATATGCGATGAGGAGATTGATATCTTAGAAGAGTATGGCAGTGATTTTACCGGGGATTCTGAAGTTCCTTGCTTCTATTTCATAAAACAGGCTCTCCCTGTACTTGTTCCACTTTTGCTGGAAACACTTCTTAAGCAGGAGGAGGATCAAGATCAGGACGAAGGGGCTTGGAACATTGCAATGGCTGGAGGGACATGCTTGGGTTTGGTTGCACGAACGGTTGGAGATGACATCGTCCCGCTTGTTATGCCTTTTATCGAGTTGAACATTACAAAACCTGACTGGAGACAAAGGGAGGCGGCCACTTATGCTTTTGGCTCTATTCTAGAGGGTCCGTCTCCAGAAAAGCTCGTGCCTCTTGTTAATGTTGCCCTAAACTTCATGCTGAGTGCTTTGATGAAGGATCCGAGTAATCATGTGAAGGACACCACTGCATGGACTCTTGGTAGGATGTTTGAGTTTCTTCACGGCTCAATGCTGGAGACTCCTATAATAACTCCAGCAAACTGTCAACAGATTGCCACGGTTCTTTTGCAAAGCATGAAAGACGTCCCCAATGTTGCCGAAAAAGCTTGTGGGGCTTTATATTTCTTGGCTCAGGGGTATGAGGACATGGGACCCTCACCATCTCCTCTGACTCCCTTTTTCCAGGATATTTTGCAGGCACTTTATGCTGTCACTCGCAGAGAGGACGCTGGAGAATCACGCCTCCGCACTGCAGCCTACGAAACTCTAAATGAAGTTGTGCGTTGTTCCACAGACGAGACATCTCCAATGGTGATGCAACTAGTTCCCCACATCATGATGGAGCTTCACCACACTCTTGAAGCCCAGAAGCTTTCAACTGATGAGAGGGAGAAGCAAAACGAGTTGCAAGGTCTTCTCTGCGGTTGCTTGCAGGTCATTATACAGAAACTGGGGTCATCTGAGGCAACAAAGTATGTCTTTTTGCAGTATGCTGATCAGATGATGGGGCTCTTTTTGAGAGTATTTTCTTGTAGAAGCGCCACTGCTCATGAGGAAGCCATGCTTGCCATTGGGGCGCTTGCGTATGCTACGGGCTCTGGTTTTGAAAAATATATGTCGGAATTTTATCGGTATCTTGAAATGGGTCTTCAGAATTTTGAGGATTACCAGGTTTGTGCTATCACGGTTGGTGTTGTAGGAGATCTATGTAGGGCTCTGGAGGATAAAATCTTGCCATATTGCGACGGGATAATGACGCAACTGCTGAAAGACTTGTCGAGCAATCAGCTGCATCGGTCCGTGAAGCCTCCCATCTTCTCATGCTTTGGTGACATTGCTTTGGCAATTGGGGAGAACTTTGAGAAGTACTTGACATATGCTATGCCCATGCTGCAGAGCGCCGCAGAATTATCAGCTCACACGTCTGGTGCAGATGATGATATGACCGAGTATACTAATTCCCTGAGAAACGGAATATTGGAGGCATACTCAGGGATCTTTCAAGGATTTAAGGGCTCTCTAAAGACCCAACTATTGATGCCTTATGCTCCTCATATTCTTCAGTTTTTGGATAGTCTGTACATGGAAAAGGAAATGTGAGTTCTGTAACTAGTTCTTGTCTCGTCTCTCTGGGTTTTGATATTTTTTTACGTTTTTTTCTGACTTATCTGTTTGTTAACAGGGATGACGTGGTGACCAAGACAGCAATTGGGGTCCTTGGAGATCTAGCAGATACTCTGGGTAGCAATGCCGGTCCCTTGATTCAGCAGTCCATATCAAGCAAAGACTTTTTAAACGAATGCTTATCCTCAGATGATCATATGATCAAGGAATCTGCCGAATGGGCCAAGTTGGCTATCAATCGAGCCATTGCTATTTGAGGCTGCTGATAGTCCATGCATTCCGTAGTCCTTCATGCATTTGGGTGTGTTGAGTTGGGGTCTGGCATTGCATTCCATGAGTCAGGTCATCACCATTTTTGGGTTCAAAGATATGGGTTATTTCGCCATTGTCGTGTCATGTCAGCAGCGATCCGATGCCTTTTTCTTTCAAATTAAGTTGATATTAATTTTATTATTTTCCTTTCTGTGGAAGGAAGATGGCGGTGATGACCCGCGTATCTATCTGCTAACTTGGCAGATAAGAATGGACATTTACCGAGGAGAAAAAAACAGTTTAAATGGTTGGGGAGGAAGACATCCGAGAGACTGCATTTGGTTGTGCGAATTTGTTTATCATGGTGGGCAGATGTGGTTTCTTGTTATGGAGAGGATGGTGCTGAAGGCATGCCCGCAGAGTCGGCGGTTTTGGCCTGAATCAAGTCTGCATTTTTCTGATCGTCTTACATTTGCTCTGTGTTCTTCCCTCCTCACACCAAACTTGGGTATCCAAAGCATTGCATTGTTACAGTTGTCATAGAGTTTGGTCTTTGCCTCTGTACTCATTTTGTATACTTGCTCGTTGTGTGGAATTGCTGAGAGCCACACAATCTAGGGCGCTCATAGCATGCATCATTCACATTTCATCAGTTTAATGTTCAATATAATGGGTTTTTTTGAGTCAATATTCAAAGATCTTGTGCTTAAAGCTCATTTTTGCTGCCGTTTTCTTGGCCATCATGGTTCAGTTTGATTAGATGTGGATAGTTGATCTTTTTGGCTAAATCATGCTGTAATGGCCACATAAAGGATGTTATTGCCTCCCTTTATTGGCTGTTCACAGAGACAACAGATATGTCATTACAGTATGTATACTGGATTCGAGAAATTGTGCTTCTTTGTCCTTAATTACAGTTGCTGGATGGATGTGGGGATATGGTTGCCATCCTTGTTTGTTGGGCTTACTCTTGAAGCTTGTAAATCTTGTTTCTGCTTTTTTAGGAAGATGCTACTCCTGCTCACTGGCTATTGCATGCAGTGAATAAAGATCAGTTGCAATGTTCTCAGGATGCTTTGAAAATATTTGGTCGGGATGGGGGCAATTCGGAAATGGGAAGAAAGTGGCTAGATCGGGCTGCGGGCATAAATTTGATGCCGATGTTGTGTTCTGCTCTGTTCCTGAGTCCATTCTTAAATTTTTTAATTGCTTATCCTGTTTCCCAGTCTCTGCAGTTATTTTGTATAGTGGAACGTTTGTGCTGAGTCATTAGTCAGTAAAAGAGAGTTGTTGTGGCCCCATTTTGCAAGTCGACCATTGTTATAGAAGTGTGGTATATTTTATATTTGATTCAAGGGAATCTAGTTGCGAAATCTTTAAGGCTTATGAGCTTGAGGACGTGAGGTTTTCTACTTTTTAGGAATATATATTCCTTAAGCACGGACAGTGATGGGTTGGTTCTAGTGGTCAGGGGTGAGAAACTCCTCTAATGGGGAAATTTTGGGGTGACGTGAATTAACGCTAGGCAAGACTAGTCAAGGCGAGGTAAGGCATGGAGTTCGTATGATGTGTGGTGTGTCATGATGTGTGGTGTGTCCCGGTACGTGAAAAACCCTATTATTCCCAATGTCCCTTTTGATTTCCAGCATCTCCTTTAGAGATCCACCCTGAGCGGTTGAACAGCACAATCATGAACGTTCTGCTTCAAGCTGTTCTGTTCGTGTGCTTTGTAAGTTGACTGTTGCCGTCAATTTCATCAGGCGACCAATGTGCGTCCGATGTTGCCTTCATTGTCCCTCTCAAGTTCGTGCAAGTTGTGCTCATCGTCTCAGTCTGGTCCTCTGTGTTAGTAACAATCAGAATTGAGTCTAGGGAGTTCCATAGTCAGTGTTGAGAACGTGACCCTTGTGATTCTTTATTTCCTAGGTTTTTCTCGTTCTTTGCCCATCAAGTTGAGGTGCATTTCTGTTCTCACTGTCGTTATTACCACACCGGTGTCATACTCAACCCATATTGATCCTATGCCCGAGAGGTCTTTGTCTCTCGGATGTTGGCAACAGCGAATGGTGGTGCAGAATAGTCCGTTTTACCTTAGTCTCAGGAATAGGAACGGGAGATCGGCCTTGCACCTGGCATGGGACTCCCTGAGGTACAGGCATCCTCCTGGGAATTGGACGGGGACAGTGTGTTCTAGCTCCAGCAATGTAGTACTTCAAGGGCATTTGCATCCTCCACAAAATTTTTATTAAGCTTTGCATCCCGGGGAAACAGATCAATGTCTAGAAAGGGAATACTAGGCCTTGAAAGAAACAGCTCTTGGTAGGTGAGAATAGACCGCATGTACCATTGTTGTTTAATAAGTTCTGTAAGATATATTTGTCTCGATGCATCTATATCATCTGTTTACTCGTCTATGTGTGAATAGCTTTATCTTTGGTGTAGCAGACGCAAACCAATTAAATGTCTTGGCGGATGATTGTACGGGACTTTCAGGTTGTCCCAATATGTGCTTTTGGAATCGCTGATAACTCGAACGGGCGATAATAACACTTCATTCGATCGCAAGTGGTCATTGTAGTGCTTTATGTGTACGTTCTTATATTAGAACAGCAAATGCTTCAAACCTACCGCCACTTAACCAAGACGACCTCAAAGTATCGCTTACACACATGACAATCGACGTACCCGTTCCTGTATCAAGATCTATGGTGAACCAAGATGTAGGTAGTTATGGTCCACTGAAGGCCAAACTGCCAGTCCCAGCCACTTAACGAAACAGCATCTCTTGATATTTTTTCTAGTTTCATCTACAACTAATTGACAATCGGGAGAATTACCAAAAAAGTCTTAAATCTACTGTAATTATGCCAATTCAATTCTAATTTTTTTTTGCCAACTAAATTCTAAACCTTTTGCATTTGTGCCAATTCAGTCCATCCGACCAATTTCCATCATAAATCACTAACATGGACGCCGGACGTCTTACGTGGCGCGGCTGGCTCTGACATGGACATTTTTAAATATTATTATAATAATTTGTCAATTTATTTATTCCTTTTCTTTTCTTTTTTCCCTTTTCTTTCTTGCTCTTTCTTTTTTTTTTTCTTCCCTTCTGGCTGATCGCCGGCGACGGGCCAAAGGCAAGGGCTGGTGAGCTCGATCGTGCCCACCCCCTCGCAAGTTGATGTATCATTCAAACTTCATCCCTCAAATCGGGAACTTCACAAAGCTCATTCCTATTGCCTTAAGGAGCTTGAATCTCCACCATAATATCTCCCATGGCTGGAAAACAACCTCGGTCGACTTCCCCTTGAGCAATGTGTCCTTGAGTAGCTCGTTCTTGAGTGGCCTGCTATCGAGCGGCTTCGCGTCTTGCAACCGCCGCTTGACCATTATTACAATGACGCCTTCAACAAGGAGAACCTCGCCGGCCACTAGCGAGGCGACGCCAACATCGCCAGCCTGGCGATGGTGAGGCTCGCCCTTACCGGCCCTCCCCTTTGGCCATTCGCCTTAGCAAATGGCTGGAGGAAGAAAGGAAGAGAAAAAAAGAAAGGGAAAAAAAAGAATAAATAAATAAAAATAAAATAAATTCAAAAAAATTAATATATTATTTTAAAATGTCTAGCACTGCCCGCGCCACATAGGACGGCCGGTATTCATGTTAGCGATTTTCGGCCAAAATTAGCTGGATGGACTGAATTGGCACAAATACAAAAGATTTAGGACTCAATTGACAAATAAAAAAAAATTTATAGAATTTTTTTTTTTGTCAATTTTACCATCAACAAACCTATTCAGGCAGCATGACGTATCAACCTTTAACAGTGGAGAAAGAGGGTTTTAGTGCTCTGTGAATTGGCACCGAAGGATTGGCTGATCACAGTGTGGACGAGACTGCACGGCTCCTTTATGCTTATCGATAATACTCGACGAGCTGACTTCTACTTTGAGCACGTTTAGTTGGATGACCCTCGCAGACACATTTGGTAGGTTGTCATCTTCAATTGACTGAAAAAGAGCCTATATGGTGTGTCGTGTATAGTGGGCTGGGCACCTTCTGTGGCTGAAGAGAGCTCACTATCCTGGAATTCTTGAAAGTGACCAATGGAATCATGGTCATCCTCTCTGACTGACATTTTCACCTAAATTAGCAAAATTTCTCAACCGGTACTGTTTCCTTGGCAACGATTGGCTATTGGCGAACGACAATACTTAAAACTTCATCTCTAATATTTGTGACCACATCCATGAACTCCAGAGACCACCATCAGAATGAGGTGGCAACTTTCTTTTCATCTTGGAGCAAAAGTTCTATGTATAGCATATACTAGGGAAATTTTCTGGGGTGAAGCTTGTAGATTCATTGGAACGAAATGTTCGAGCAGTGAATTTGTGTGTTGCCAGTTTAGTGATAGAGAGAAGTGGAAAAGAACCGAGTAAATGGAACGTTGAGCGGCCATTGAAGCTTGTCAAGATGAGGTGAATGAAGTTCCATGAGAGACGGGGTAAGGAAGGCTGCAGGGTGATCAACCTTACCGAAAGTGAGTTTTTCTGGAAGCCAGCAGGGCCGTTTCTATTTATGATTTGAGCACAAATACTACAGAGTCAAATCTCTGTTTTCACTCTCTCAGACGACTTTTTGTCCTTGCTCCAGCTAGTTTCAATTGAAAGTGGTTATGGAAGGTTTGACAGAGACTCAACTCACTCGACTTTACAGGAAAAAGAGAATTTCAACAGGTATTTCCACCGTCCCACTTCCTCACAAACACGCATATCAGACTTCATAAGCATGTCCTGTCATCCACTCAATTGGTTAAACTCCACACAAAGCTTCGAAGACATTATCGTTTATAGTGAATGTCGCTGTTTTAACTTTCCAAACCATCGAGAGTTTTTTCTCCAGAAACAGGAGGGAAATACTAGAGAAGAAAAATTGAGGATGTATAGACTTCATAAGCATGTCTTGTCATCCACTTAATAGCTTAAACTCCACGCAAAGCTTTGAAGACGTTATAGTTTATAGTGAATGTCGTTGTCACTTTTAACTTTCCAAACCATCGAGATTTTTTTCTTTAGAAATAGGAGGGAAATATTAGAGAAAAAAATTGAGGATATATAGACTTCATAAGCATGTCTTGTTATCCACCTAATAGCTTAAACTCCACGCAAAGCTTCGAAGACATTATAGTTTATGGTGAATGTCGCTATCACTTTTAACTTTCCAAACCATTGAGAGTTTTTTCTCTAGAAACAGGAGGGAAATACTAGAGAAAAAATTGAGGATGTAGAAGTCAAATGTATGGTGTACGCTATTGAAAAAAAAAAAAAAAACGGTGAGAGCTTACACTTGGGTATGCAAAATCGCGTAGTTAACTTTGTGCACTAAAATCCTGTGTACTATTCATAAATTTACGACGCGAGTGAGTTTCGCACGGCATAACCAAGTCTCACTGGTGCTGTGACATCCTACATGCCGTTATATACCCCTTTAGTCCTCGTAAATCTAAACTCAGGATAACGCTGGTTCTTGGAAATACAGCATGGATCCTTATAACAAGACGGGAATTGTCATTCTGTTCATGCTCTTCATCAATAGTTACTCAGGTGAGAGAGTTTTTCATATTTTTTCGAATCGCAAAGACTATATGCCCCGAACTAAGTTTGAGCAACAATTTCATTATTCTG